GTGATAAATGGCGCAGGAACGAGTCCCCACACTGCTCGTCTGAGGCGTACTCCCCTCCCAAGTCAGCACAGCCACGGAGAGCCACAGGTTGCTCCACACTGTCTCTGTGCACAATAAATTGTCTTTGACTATTATTGTAAGTTTTATTTTGACTGTCATCAAAMGTTTTGCTGTATTTTCTAACCGCCTAGACCAGCTGATCCTCAGTGGAGCAGTGTAGTAAACTTGCTTTTCTTTACAAAGTTCTGATCAATAACAAAAATCTTAGCGTGTCCCCATGAGTAAAGGTTCTGCAGAGAAAGGGGKTCTGCAGTCAGTTTCTTGTTTTGTGGGAGGAGTTTGTTCAAGACGTGATTGGTTGGATTGACGAGGGGTTTGACGAAGCTGGGGGCAGCTTCTTAAAAGTTGGTCGACTTGGGCAGGAAGAACCTATATTTTTAATCATAAACATTAATTTTAATCATAACTCGAGACAGGAAGCTGCTAGCCGAATGAAATTTGAATGTTGTAAATGTGGAGGGACATGTAACAATTTGGTCAAAACAGTCCTAAAGAGCATGAAAAAGATAACTAAAAATAAATATGAAATAATATTAGTCATAACTCGAGACAGGAAAGTTTTTAATTTACTGTTGTTTAACCAAGTTTTGTGCACAAAAGTAAATGTCAGTAAATATTATTATGATATTTACATGTTCACTATAATTTTACCATAACTACCTCTTTTAAGTTGCCCAACAAGACAAGTCAATCTGACCAATCATGTTTACGACAAACTCCGCCCACACACCAACTCTGTCAGTAATGTTTTGGACAAACTCCACCCACAAAACAACTCTGTCAATTACATTTAGGATAAACTCCGCCCACAAAACAACTCTGTCAATTAGGACAAACTCCGCCCAGAAAACAACTCTGTCAATTAGGACAAACTCCACCCACAAACCAACTCTGTCAATTAGGACAAACTCCGCCCACAAAGAAACTGTCAATTACATTTAGGATTAACTCCACCCACAAAACAACTCTGTCAGTTACGTTTAGGACAAACTCCACCCAAAAAACAACTCTGTCAATTAAAATTAGAACAAACTCCGCCCACAAAACAACTCTGTCAGTTACATTTAGGATAAACTTCACCCACAAAACTCTGTCAATTATGTTTAGGACAAACTCCGCCCACAAAACAACTCTGTCAATTAGGACAAACTCTGCCCACAAAACAACTGTCAGTTACATTTMGGATTAACTCCACCCACAAAACAACTCTGTCAGTTACGTTTAGGACAAACTCCACCCACAAAACAACTCTGTCAATTAAAATTAGAACAAACTCCGCCCACAAAACAACTCTGTCAATTACGTTTGGGACAAACTCCACCCAGAAAACAACTCTGTCAGTTACATTTAGGATAAACTCCACCCACAAAACAACTCTGTCAATTACATTTAGGATAAACTCCACCCACAAAACAACTCTGTCAATTACATTTAGGATAAACTCCACCCACAAAACAACTCTGCCAATTACATTTAGGATAAACTCCGCCCACAAAACAACTCTGTCAATTACATTTAGGACAAACTCCGCCCACAAAACAACTCTGTCAATTACATTTAGGACAAACTCCGCCCACAAAACAACTCTGTCAATTAGGACAAACTCCGCCCACAAAACAACTATCAGTTACATTTAGGATAAACTCTGCCCACAAAACTACTCTGTCAATTACATTTAGGACAAACTCTGTCCATATTCCAACTCCGCCAATCACGTTCAGGACAAGCCTTGCCCACACAAGAAGAAACTCCCCCTATGTACTGCAGAGACCCTTACTTTGTTCTGCCAGGAGCTTGTGCTGAAAACAGATTCTCGAAGGCAGTGTGAGAACAAAAACACGTAATTGTCATCTGTGTAACTGCGACCATGGGAATAAACATCTCAGCCTTTCTTCTCCTTACAGCTAATACATCATATACAACTCCTTAGAAAAAACAATCACGTTTAAAAAGTCATTAAATTTAATATTGGCCAAGTTATTTAGAAACATTTCTCCGTCTCCTCTGTCTTGCTTTAAAAGAATGGGTCCATTTCCCCATTCRCTGCTCATCTCAGCAGCCTGTGGAGGGAAGACGTCATTAGGCGCCAACAACGTGCGTCGGCGCGGTCAAGTGCCACGCGCTCAGCCCCTCTTCCGTTAAGCAGATAAAAGGTGGCATCTGTCTTTATTGTGCAAGTTAATCCCCCCTCCGCCATTGACCACAGACACTTCACATGTTGGTGTGGAGGGGGATGTATAGGCGGCGGCCCATGCTGCTTTGTTCCTCCTTTTTTCTTTTGGGGTGGGACGTTATGCAAATCAAACAAACCGTTTGTGATTTCCATCTTAGGATAAATAATTATGAAGTTCTCAGTCAAGCTGCCAATGTGCAAGGTGGCTCTTTTCCCTCATGAGCTCGGTAGAACTGATAAAACCCATCAACATCTCATATATATACAATATATATGTGACAACCCCCCTCGAGACCCCCACCCCCCAATGCTGACTCACTTTGCATTGATTTAGAGAGCATCCAAAATTACAACTTATGCAAATGTTTAGTGCAGCTGCCAAGCCTTTGAACAACAGGGCGCCCAGAAAAAAACTGAAGCTGATGGAGGATAAGCGTTTAGGTTGATCTAAACTAATCAACAGCAAAGGTCAACTGATACTCTATTCAAAGCACGGGCTGAACCTGAGAGCGGCCGGGTGGAACAATTTGCATCAGAGCTGTTGTTTTACTCTTTGCGAAAACAATAAAAATAAGATGTAAATTGTGTTCAAATTCAGGGCATCGTGTAAATAATATCCTTGTGGATTGTTGAAATGTCCCTGTAGATGAATTTCAGTTTTGGAGACGAGACTTCCTCAGACTCAGATCACATCCAGAATTCAAACCAACCCTAAACTGTTTTCTATTTGTTCCTTCATCTTTAATGTAATATCTACAGGAAGACAGAAAAACTAAATTCAAATGAATGACAGCACCAACCCTTTTGTCCTCGTGGTGTTATCTTTGGGGTCGCGTGTTGTGGAGGTTCTGTAGGGGGGTATTGAAATTTTTGTGTAAACTTTTCGTTTAATATTTTTTGTTTTTCCAAGTTATGTCTTCAAACGAACATTACCATGAATCCGACATGTATCAAACTGATAAAAGGATGGCGCAAAACAATGGTTTTYGGTCAGAAATGCTCACATTTAATGAGCACACCAGCTGAACTCTGCTTCACTCACAGCTCAAACCTCCATACATTTTGCACACACAGAGAAGGACCCGCCCCCTTTTCATATTGGACAACTCTGTCAAGTTCACAGAAATCGACAATTAGCCTATTATTGCAGTGATTTTTCAATACATCTACAACACTAACAGCTAATGTCRGTGTACAATTTAAACAAATAAATGCATATCAGTTTGGGGGCCCAGACTGAAAAACGTTGAAGACCTGGAGTAGCCAAAAAATAAAATAAAATAAAAACAAACAAACAAAAAAAAACCTGTAAATCTATCTATTTTCTTTACCGGTTTTGGGTTACTGGGTAAATGGTGCCCATATCCAGATGATGAACTGGTCAACAGTTCATCACTGAGCCACATTGGGATAATGACAAACAACCATTCGCTCTTTTACTCACTCTTTAGTGACAATTTGAGAGTTGCCATTTATGTTTTTGATTTTTGGGAGATCCACCTTGCTGTGGCTCGGGATTTTTAATTTTTTTAAAAAGGAGACAGTTTGTGGTTAAAACTACGAAAGTACTGTAACAATCGAATCAGTTACCACTACATGCTTTCATCTTATTGTTAGGAATAAAAAAATATTGGCTTTAAGTCAAAAAATGGGAGAGCAAAAATATAACATTGCCACTTTTGCATTTTTGTGTAGCCAGCTAAAAATCATTTTTAAACCCCACTAATTTTCTTGTGTTTACAGTTTATAAACAGCGTCCAGTCTTTACGCAAATGCACCTTGTCTTGTTTCCTGTTTTTGGTGTGGCATAGAACAGCACCACACACAGGTCCGACATAMTTATCAGTGTTTTAGGTTGCTTTTTGGTGGGGCTTGTGTGGATGAAAAAATTTCTAGTAATGATACCGTGTTTATGAGAATATTTTTTTAGAAATGACCATTGGACAAAGTCTGTGTGCACGGCTACAACAAACTGTACAATCTCCAGCTCTGCCACTCAGTTGAYGTATCAGTGAGTTTAAATGTTGGTGTCAATATCAAAACATATGTGAAATGAATTTAGGGTGCTAAAAACACAAATTAGGCTTTACCATCACTTTCTTAAAGCTTTGTTTGGGGACATTTTTGAAAAAAAAAAAAGACCAATTTCGAAAATAAGACCCTATATGTGGCTTTTTGTCTAAACAAAGTCAAGCAGTTCCCTGATGCCATGAATCCTCTCAAGGCTTCTGAGGTTTTTTTTTCTTTCTTAAATTTGACTCCAACGAGCGCAGAAAACTACATAAACCCACGCCAGTCTCTCACGTCTCTCATGTTTACAGCCTCTGGCCTGGTACCGTATAAGCTCCCCCCCCCATCCTTCCCACTTTTATGAGATAGAATTTCAATCGTCTCTCCTTTTCCAAGCTCATAAACAGTGTAATGAGTTTCACTGRCTTCGGCTACGTGGGGCTAAAACCGCCTCTGTGACCGCAGCAGTGTTCAGAAAGATCACAGCGAATCCTCTCTCTCACACACCCACACACAAACACACACATCCAATCACACATTTGGAGATCACTTCTGTTCAACACATGCCAGCTTTGACTGGTGACTCCGACATTTGGTGTGAATTTCCAGGCCATTAATTTAAGTAACATCACTTCTAAAAGGAAACTGCCCGACATTCACGGTGCCCTTTTTTTTTCAAACGCTCTCTATTAAAGCCTCTATTAACCGTCCCTCACTGCATAAATCACTGCCTAAAAATGACACAAAGACACGTGAAAACATGCTCTCATCTCTTTTATTTTAACAAACTTCTGTGGTTTGTACAACAGTTAAAAAACAAACACAAAATCTCTAACAACCTTATATATATTCTAAAATACAAAAAAAAAAACAGTTTTGGTGTTTATTTTTCAACTAGCCAAGTCCGTTAGAAAATACAAACACTTTTACAACGGTTTCAGCAAAACTTTTAAAGATAGTCAAATTTAAAAAGACAATTTATTGTGCACGAATGGAGACAGCGTGGAGACACAGGCGGCTTTCCATGGCTGTGCTGGCCGGGAGCCAGTACACCTCAGCCGGGCAGCGTAGGGRAATTTTTCCTGCGCCATTTGTCAGAAACAGTGGCGATCTGTCTGAGGCACATTTGCAAATTAGCGCTTCTCCTCAGTTAAYAACTAAAAGTATTGAAGAATATTAAAGAATGTGGTCAAACAGATCTTTTTTTTGTCCAAAAAAAGTGTCTGGTAGGTAAATAAAACGTTTGTAGAGTTGTGGGGACAACAAAAATACAGTGTTGTAGTTTGCTTCTATTTAATATAAAAGTAAAAGATTTGGTAAGCACAGCTGTAATTTACACTTTCTTTTTGTTTACAGATTTTTAGTTTGGCACAAATAATAAACCGTTAACGCTCAAGACACACATTTCTCTGCCATACAGTCAAGATTGACAAGCTGCTGCTTTGTGTCACTTTGACACATCACCAACCTTCAAGCCGTAACAGCCATCAAAATACGCAATTATTCAATGTTTTTGAAATAATTTTTGGTATGTGTATCATTTATTACTAAATAAACACCAAATATGTTTCATTCTCCATCAAAAGCCTATCGCGTAATTTCTAATAAATATGCAAAATGAGTAGCGTCATGTTTTGCTGACAACAATTACAAGTCCTTTGTTTACATTTGAATGTTGATGAGTACAATCTGGACAGTCTCGACGAGCGATGAACAGAGAGCTGGTTCATTAATCCCAAATTCAAAGTCTCAAGAAAAACAATGGAATTAGGTCTAATGCAAAAAGTAAAGTTCGTTCTTTTACAAAAAAAATGGCAATGAAGAGCTATCAGGACTAGAGTCCACAGAAGTCGAGTCATTTTGGAGAAGAACTGGAGCAGTGGCTACAATCGGGGCTATTTAACACAAATTTACTGTGCTCTTTAGCAGGAGAGTTTCTGTAACTAATCACCAAATATCTTTGCTGTTTTCTAACACAGTTATTACAAAATCCCTGATGAGTTTAGGTTACATTAACCCTCCAAACAGTAATTTAATAATGTAGAAATTGTGCTAGAAGCATTAAAATTCAAATAATTTTTTTTTAATTGCGTAATTTGACAGCTATTATGGCAATATTTAGACAAACTCATCAGTCTCCCTACAAAGCAGTAACATTTTGCCAGAGTGACACATTTCCCAGCTAGACAGCCATTTAGATGTCAAAAAAATTATGAAAAAAATAAACTGCTTTGGAATGACTCACTGTTTACCGGATCCTCAGACTCCTCCGATATAAATCTGATGGTGTCTGATAGGAACTGTGGAAACCAATCTATGTAACAGATCCTCTGTGACAGCCTTGTTCTTTGTACTATACCTGATTTAGTTTGGAGAAACAGAGTTTAAGAGCTAAGGGCTGGTTCGAACAAAGACTAAACCAAAGTGGACAGTTGATGTCTTAAAACTCCAGTTTTAAAAAAATGTCATAGTAAATTGTGCAAATGCCTTTTTATAAACCTTTACACCTCTATCAATTTGACATTACACACTTATTTAGATACTGGTTATTTGCAAKAGCAAATAGCAGCAGCAGAAGCAATGAGCTGTAGCACCTTCGGCGTGAGTATTCTTATTTTTCTGCTTGGAATTTTCAGGTAATTTAAAACTATAAATAGCAGTTGTCAAATCACCCACACCAGCGTTGGCCTTTGTTCGTTCTGGTTTTCTGTGGATCTGAATGCTCAAATCTACAACCAAAAGGCCTCCAAAACCCTTCTGCCAGTGTCCCAGTCCCAGACACCACAGAAACCCCTGAGGGCTTGGCAGTGCCTCATTGTGCTGTTCTGGCAGCAAGGTTGTGGGTTTTAAATGGAGACATTTAATTGAACTAAAATCAGAAATGACTAAAACTAGTAAAACTTCCATGAAAATTCATAAAACTGCAGCTTTAAAGAGTTCAAACTGGACAGACTTGAACAAACACGGCAGTAATGATTTGACCAAATTTGGTGTCTAACGGGTTTCACTTCGCAACCAGAATGGTTTCTACAGCAGTAGCTATAACGTGCCGTGAAGACGTGAAATACAGCTGCAGATGACCTAAAAATATTTACATTTCTAGACCTAAGAGGAAGACGGGTTCTATGAGCAGCCTGATACARCACTTTAGGACTGCTGTTTCCCTTCAGGGCGAATTGAATCTTTGTTGGTGTCAATCCAAGTTGTCATTCTTTGTTTAAATTTCCAAAAGAGTGAAATGATTCTGGATTCGATCCGATGTAGAACTTGTCCAGACTTTCTGAAATGTTTGTAAACTTTAGGTTTTTTCTTTTTTTTTTTAAACAAAACTTTAAAGTCCGTCCAAAYCCATTGAGAAACAAACGTTTAATGGTGCATTTGGGGATTTTGGCTGTTTTGTCCATTTTAGCATTGATCTGACTTTAAGAGGTTAAAAACACAGCAGGATCATGGTGACCATGGAAATCTGTTTTTTTTTCCATTTATGTCTGACTGATGCCTCCCTCGACACCAAACACTTGGGGTGCACTAGTCATCCACTTTAACAAAACTACAACGGACATACCATAAACTCTCATGTATTGCTTTTTAAAAAAGCACAAGAACTTAAAAACAGTGAACATTGTACARCAACCACATCAACCGCCACCTCCCCCCAATTACATATTAAACTGTTTTTCCCCTGGTAAGACTCAACTAATGTTTTCCAAAACCTTCTTGTTTCGCCCCCTCTCCTCAATCGTTCACTCAGTCCATGCCTGGAGGCTGAAGGGGTCCAGTCCATATTGCCTTCATTAGAGCTGCCGAACGTCGACCTGGTTCGGAAACATGGTGTGTGTGTGTGTGTGTGTGTGTGTGTTTGTGTGTTTGTGTGTGTGTCTGTGTGTCTGTGGAGGCGGCTGAGGCTGCCAGGTCCTAAACCACATTCTTTAAATTCCCTGTAAACAAGACAGAGACAGAAATGAGACGGATGAGGGAGGTTACATGGGTGAACACACACACATACACCGAACCACGATGACCCATGGAGGAGAGCGGGAAAAAAAATTGGTCAAACTGATCTCATTAAGTGGAGCTAATTACATATTTTAGACACCGAGAGAAACCAAAGAACGAGGCAAATGCGAACGAGGTTGCACACACGTAAACACACACTTGTGCCAGGGAAAATGCAAAACAACATCTGGCCGAGGTAAGCCCTGTCAGTCCTGAGGAAATACAGACATGCAAAAATGGGAATCTGTATGAAAATGACAAGACTGAGCTCTGCTGTGAGTTCATTTGCATGAAGACACAGATTGTTCTCCATGCCGAACTTCCACTCACACACACACACACACACACACACGAGGCAAGTGTTTGAACACAATAGCAGCATTATGAAGCGTAGATGACGGTTCACCTTTGGAGATAATGCTGCGTTGTTAATCTTTTGTTATGCTAAAAAGGCCCGATTGAGGAAAAACAAACATGTTGCACGTGCTCTCCGTGGGGATGAGTAATTGCCCTGACGCACTGAGGGAGGATGTCCTGTTTGTTGGCCATTGTGGAGCTGTCAGTGGAGTCCTGTCATGTTCTGACAACAGTTATGTTGAAACTGGAGCAAAACAACTTCTCCTCCAACTACATACACGGTTTGAAGCTACGTTGGTTGATCTCAGATGTTTGTGTGTTAGGGCTGCGTCCGACCAACAAAGGAGAGAAAAAATGGAGCATTCCTTATATTTAAGAAGGGTTTCCTGCTTTGGTATCATATAATTGACCTGCCCTTCCCCATCTAAARGATTAAAACAATAAGTACAGTGTCATCAGACAAAAAAACTTTCCCACAGTTAAAATTCCACAATTGACTAATTTCTTCTACAGCGACTTTATTTCCAAGATGTAATGCATCATATGTTGACTGGAGATGAGTTTTCATTAAAAATAAAACTACAGAACATGTCTGCATTCTTGGTCCGAAGTCAAGCTCATTCTCAGTGCGGGTTGGACTCCGACAGAGCCAACCCCCTCGTCTCCGGTCCTGTTTGTGTTGTTCATGGACAGGATCTCAAGTAGCAGTTTAGAAGGGGAGGGWCTCTAGTTTTGAGAACCTCAGGGTCTCATATTTGAAGAAGCTGTGGTTGTGTTTGTGTCTTCGGGCCATGACCTCGAAAGGTTCATTGAGTGTGAAGTTGACGAGATGAGATTCAGGTCTGAGGCCACAGTTCTCAAAAACTAAAACAGAAAATATGGAGAAAAAAACCCAGCTGGGATGCTTCCTCAGGGTAGGGAGTGGATCTTTGCTTAAAGAGGAGGAGTTCAGTATCTGGGAGTCTTGTTCGTGGGTGAAAACAGGATGGAATGGTAGGTGAAATGATGGATCAGGTCTTTATCTACACTGTTGAAGGAATCACTCTGATGGTTAAAAAATGGAGCTGAGCTAAAAGGCAAAGCCCTCGATACACTGGTACTGTACATCATTTATGGTCAAGAGGTACAGTATCTCCTTAATCACCATGGCAGAGGGTGTTGGTGACCATGGTTCTAATTCTACACGGTCTTTCACAAGCTGCARGAGGCAGGTAGGTGTTGTGCCCATAAAACTCAAGCTGTCGTCCACAACTACTTCTTCCTTTTATTTTTCCAGTTGACACAAGAGGATCTAACCCTTTCTCTCCTCGTGGTGTCTCCAAAAAACCTGGCCTGTCCCAGCATGGTCTTTTTGTAAAGGTGTTTTTCCATTTGCTCTTGTTAACACATCTTCATTCTTAAGCATTCTTYCTAAAAACCACATTTTGGCAACATCATGTTAGTTTATGGTCCAAGCTTCGCTTCCATATTTCACAAAGAGATATAGATCATGAATAAGATCAAAAATAAAAGCAGCTGAAATGAGCGTCCTCTGTAGGGTGGTCGAGCTCTGTCCTCTGGTCTTGATGTAGGGTTGGGCARTWTTGGCAAAAAAATTAATCACGATTAATGTGTTGTATTTAGCCGATAACGATTAATTTGAAGATTAATCCCCCAGAGTCCCAGGACACCCTTGTATCCTAGTCACATGACCAATTTATAGGGAGAAAATTGGTTCTTCGTAAAAAATCTGTTCCAAATTGTGTCAAAATTACAGACTTCAGGCTATACATCAARCTTTAAATTGTGTTGATAGATAAATAAATTACAGAACCTTTTTTTAACATTCATCATGTTTGAAGGAGAGAGGAGCACCAAGYGGTTAGTCTGCCTGGTGGCATTTATCGTATTAATCGTCAAGTGCCAAAAATTAATCGATTAATGTTTTTCTGACGATTAATTGCACACGATACAATTATGCCCAACCCTATCTAGATGGACCTCAGACTTGAGCTGATGGTCCTTTGAATTAAAAGGAGTCAGCTGAGGTGATTTGGGCATCAAGTTAGGATGCCTTTCTCTGAAAGTTTTCCAATTATGTCTCACTGAATGGAAACCCAGGCGCGGACCTAAAACTACCTTCGAAGATTACACCTCCTCTTTGGCCTGGTAATGTCTTTGGATCTCCCAAGAAAAGTATCACCACCTGACAGCATTTTTCTTTTCTACTGTCAATAAATAAGCCACTAGAGCCCCAAAGTAGTTAGAAACTGAAGTAATTATATTCAAGCATAAGTTTTAGCAAACTGATGTGCCTGCCAAACAGTTTTGTCAGATTTGGCTGTTTTCGCTGCAGGTTTTCTTTGTTTTTCTTTTCTTTTTGGGGTCTATAAAAGGAAAACTCAACTTACAAAGTGTGGTTATTGATGACCTTAATTAAACCAATGGGTAAAAATAATTAGGGCCAAAATTAATGTGGTTATAAACATTTCTGGTAACGTGTTTGTTTTGGTAGGGTTAGGGTTTATATTGAGCTGCCAATGTAAATATCTAAAAAAAAATTCTTAGATACTCGTGGAATATTAAAACCTTAGATGGTTTTAAGGTTATGTTATATTCATATGTTGATCANTGGACCATGTTTTAGAAACATATTGAAAAATGAAAAATGAATGGTTATTATATTTTTCATTTTATACTCCAAAAAYGGGAAAACAGTTTGTCGTTTAATTTTTCCTTATTTTTGTCAGCTGATAGTTTGTATATCACTGAYGACTCAAACCGTTTCCTGGAGCTTCTGTTTTTTTTTATAGCATATGAAACTTTTCTCCAAGAGGTCCATAGTGAGGAACTTCCACAGGACAGTGAAACTTTCAGTTTGACAACAATAAAAAATATGCACTGTTTTCCCAGTTTTGGAGTATTCAATGAAAATAAAATAATCATCCGTTTTTCATTTTTCAAAATCTGTTTTTAAAACAAAAAATTGAATGACCAAAACGTACAGGGACCATCCTTCTACAAATTATTTATTTTCATCATCTGAAAAAGTCTGGAAAAATATGTGGACGTGTCATTATTTTAAAAGTGCTCTAACAAAAATTTTCTTATGCTGTATCTAGTTTCAGCACAGTGTTATTYGTTTTAAAAATGTAAAATCCCATCTTAGTCAATACTTTGACCCCATTGTGCTTTCCTCTGGAACAAAAAGACAGAAGTGTATTAACTGCATGGCATCATTTCTAGGACTTTCCCTTCCTACATTATTCAATTTGTAATAAGCCAACCACAAGCAGTGCTCACAGTTCACTTCTTCAAAAGGCCCTGATTTCAGCAGTCATATTTCTGCTGAATAGATAAGGATACTCTGACTCTCTACACACTGCACATTTTTTTCTCTGTTATGACAGGGGAAAACTCAAAAATCATGATGCAAGCTAAAAACAGGAAAAGGCTATCATAAAAGAGGAACAACTCTTACAAGTAGGCCTTTAGAGATGCAAATAATACTTCCTGAAAAACTTCACAAATTTAATGTGAACTTGCAGGTTCCCTTCGGTCTGTTAACTCAAATGTGTGCTTGTCAGTAGTTTGAACTCAGACTCTACCAAAAGCTTTGGAAACTTTAATAACCATGTGAAAGCTGAAGATTTCCCTTTCCCCCGTCGTTGTTGAGCTCATAAATCTTACTCGTTCTGTCTGTTTGTCATTGCTTCCCAGATGTAAAGACTCTGGTGAAATGACAAGTGTTCATGGGAGCCTCAAATATTTAGTAAACAATAATCTGTGTGTCAATTCATAGGTATGTGAATAAACAGTTGCAGTCAGATGTTTGCATAAACTCATCATGGGCAAGACTGACAAAATAATTTAGGGTTTTTAATGATTTATGTGTACCACTCKTTTTCCAGAGAGGAATGACTGCACAGTGCACAACTTCAAGGGCCTAAAAAAAACAGGAATTTAGTTCACAAGTTTGAATTTGTTGTTGAGTTTCTCCAATTTACACAAAATCCAAATATACAGGCTCAAATATATATACTTAGCACAAAAAAGTAAGGAAATTTGTGTTTGGCAGATTATTTCTTTGTTATAACAATAAATCTTATAGCGGACACCTGAGTGGCAGCATATGGGGGGACCAGAAGCTCAAAAGAAGAGTCAATAACAGAAAAACAAGATGTTTGGCAGAGATAGTTTGGCAATTTTTTCATGTGAGCAACCCACTCAGCTCTACTGCTCATGCCACAAATGCATGTTCCTTACWAATGTGGCACCATTTAAAAGGAAGATTATCAGCCTTTCCAACGGTATAAGATTTATTGTCAAGAAGCATTGTTACAACAAAGAAATAATCTACCAAATACTAATTTCCTTACTTTTTGTGAGGTTTAGATACTAATATTTGGTTTAAAAAAACTTCCATCAACCACAAGTTATTTGTATCCAGATAGAATTTCGGCTGGATATTGGACCACTCTTGTTGGTAGAAATGGTATAGTTCATTTATTTTTGTTGATTTCYCGATAATAATGTAGATACAAAGTGTTGCGGTTTTGAATTAAAAGCGTTTGAATGCAGATAGAGTGCAGTCAGCTGTAGTGCG